TCAATTGCTTGAAGATGAAGAACAGCAGCGAGAAGCACCACCATCGCAACAACAACAACACTCTCTTTCTCCTTCTCCTTCTCGTCCAAACAAGTCAAAAAGAAAAGCGATACTTCCAGTTCGTGCAATTCCACCGCCGCAAGGAACACCGGCACCCCTTCCGGAGGAATTTAGGGAGGTTATGATACGCGAGGGAATGACGGGGGGGCCGATATTGTTGATTCAGAAGAGGTTAACAGCAACTGACTTGAAAAAGGCTCAAAATCGGATGTCAATGCCGGTGAAACAAGCGACGGAAGATTTTTTCAAGTTTTTGAAACCCTCGGAAGAAGCCATTGTCAATAGCGAAGCGGGAATGACGGTGCGCCTGATCGAACCCTCACGGGATGTCTCCACCGTGGTTTTCAAGAGATGGAAAATGGAGAAGACAACGGGGAGGACTAGCTATATGTATGTATTCAACGGAAAGGGGTGGGGTGATGTTAAGAACAAGAATGCGCTAAGGGAAAGTGAGGAAGTTCAAGTCTGGGCGTTTCGTGTTGGTGATCAACTTGCTCATGCCCTTGTTAGGGTTCCCTCATGAATATTGTTTTTTTAAATTAACTATTATTAAATTAACACTAGTATGTATAAAATTTCTATAAAATCTAAAAGAAGAAGAAGAAAAGGGAACTTCTTGGTATCGTCCATCAATTTTTATCCCCAAAAGGAGAAGAAGTCTTGAAAATTTTTGGTCTGTTTGAGGAATTCTTTTGATTGGGATAAGTGAAATGCATTAAAATAAATTTGTTTAAAGTTTATTGAATCTCACAGTATTTAATTTTGCCGCTTATTCCATTAGCATTATGAAATAGAACCCCTTAATTACCAACTAGTTACATACAAAAATAATATATTTTTATTGTCATGTAATATTATAATTTGTAACCAACGAGGAGTTGGATCAAGTGGCAAGCGGCTTGTTCCAGCTTAAGCAAGGTCTCGAGTTCGAGACCTTGTGTACGCAGCAATTTTCGTTGGGAGACCCACCCACCATTCTGGTGCGCCACAGCTGGTCGAATCCGGAGTAGTCGGGGCAAAGCCCCGGATACCGGATGGGGAACCAAAAAAAAAATATTATAATTTGTAAAAATATAATAATAATATACTTTTATTATATAATTAAAATTTTTATTCATAAATTTTCTCATGAAATTATTGATGATCAAACAAAAGTCACTTTTCTATATATTTAAAATAGGGGCATCAAATATCTCTCACAAAAAATATAAAATATGACAATTAAATTAAAAATTCTCAATAAATAAACACGGGAAGAGTATAATTTGCGATTTCAAAAACCAGCCCAAAACAACTGTGGGCTTGAGATCCATAAATTCTGATCTAACAAAAATGGAAAGAAAAAGTCCATATCCAATATAAATCTCCCTGATCGTCACTGTTATTACACTTTTACCCTCCGTATTTTTCACTTCACCAGGCTTCTCACGCAAAAACTTGCTCCTCCTTTCTTGGCAACGCGTAATGGCGAGAGGTTCTTCACAGTCCCAAGCCTCCACCATGTCCTCTGCGAGGCCCAAAATTGAGAAACTCCAACGTTTTATAGTAGTAATCTTGGTAGCTTCCCTTGCTATTGCTAATTATTCTATCCCTTTTTTATCATCTTATAGTTGTTTCCAATTGTCCAAGTTGTAGGAACTGAACTTTCACAGTTGTTCTCTTGCAAATCCAAAATCAACAAGAACTTACTAAAATTGCCAATACATTGTGAGATTATTCCATTCAGATTGTTGTGAAAGAGATCAATAACTTGAAGAGAAGTCCTACTGCAAAATTCAAGATGGATTTCTACACTGAATTTATTTCCATAAACTAAAAAAAAAATTTATGGATAATGGTGGGTTGGTGGTGAAGCTTCAAGCCTCTTAAACATAAGGTCTAAATAATATAATACTAGATGAAGGAAGGGAAATTGGAACTATTCTTACTTTTGATTAGCAATGAAAAATGATAAATTGTTGGATAAGAATAAATGTTTCAAGTATTTGAGTTCAAGAGATTTGTCGATGTCAACTAAACCATTGAAGCTATTATTAGTGTAGAAGCCATTAGATTCAGATAAAGGATCTCCTATTAATCTTACTGAGAAATCTTTTCCTTGAAGGATGGTAACAATTGCAAAGATTAGGAATCTGGCATGTATCCATGGTGTTTGTGAAGATAGTTGTGAACCTTTTGTCAGGTCTCTACTTGGCTGGTATATGTATCCACCATTCCACCTATTGAAATGCTGCAAGTGATGCTCCAAGCCAGTCTTCATGAGCACAGAGAAACGATGGTGATGGGAAAAAACTGGCCAAGGAAACCTGCTGCAGCTCTGCCTCTCTTAAATCTTCAGGAGAAGGGGGATATATCTGCTGTTTACTTCTTCTTTTGGTATTTTTATCCAGTTCTTCTTTATAGCTTCTCTTCTTCTTCTTCTTCTTCTTGAAAACTTTGGTGATTTGTTTTTTGTACTACCCTTTAGCTTGTATTTGTTGTTTTGTTTTTTCCATTTACCATTGGCGATTGTCAATTTCCCAAAAAAGCAAAAAGATTTACGAAGTCGTCCACTTGAACATTCTGTCAAGCATGATAAAGGTCAATGTATTGGTTTTGCACTTGATAATTCATAATTTAACTCTAGAATTAGGTCATGATATTATGTCAAATATTTAATATGCAGATTTATACTGAGTTATCTCTGACTTGTACACAAACTTATCTAAAAATCCTTTCTGGTTTTTCCAACTTAGAATTAAATTCATCAGACCCTATGATGAAATCAAATGGAGTTTCCTTGTTTTGTTGAGCTTCTTGTTCAGAATTCATTTTCATTCGGTTACATACTAATGTTAAACCCTGTATTCTTATGCTTTTTGGCAGACCAATTCTTCTGCTTTCATAATATTTCGGACCGATCGATGATGTCATACAAGGTCAGAACAAGGCAAGGTAGTCTGGTGCTTAAATCTTCTCAATCTCACTCTAGTTATAATGAAAATCTCAAAAAATCTCAATATATATGATGTCATATTCATCGCTTTTTTCCTCTCCTTGGGAAGTTAAAATTTAATAAACTGAAAAAAATTAAATTTAATGGAGTATAATGTTTATGATAAATTTTTATATTTAAATATCATAATAGTTGTTAAATATATAATAAATGTGAACTAAAAATTAAAAACCAAAATTATATTAAAAGGGATTTAATTAGTAATTCACATCAACTAATGTATAGTGGCAGTGCAATTTATTAATGTAGCTTTCAAGTACAATCCAGCTGATACATTGGTTTTGCAATCTACTTGAATTATAATCCACACACACAAAAGGAAGAAAAAGAAATATAAAATAAAATACTAGTTCCAACAGATAGAGATATTCAGAGCTTCACTGCATCATCCTAATCCTATTCAATCTCCCGGACCCCTTTCCTTTCCTCCTTGACAATCTGATTCGGTAAGTCCTCATCAACCACTCACGTATTGTTGCAAAAACAATGTTTCCAATCACCACACCAACAAGGAATCCACATCCATAACCCAACGCCACTGTTTTCCAACTAAATTTAGCTAGCAATCCAGAGTCTTCATTTCCTTTAGAGGTTGAAGATGGTGGAGGGGAGGCCTTTGAGTTGTCACATTTCCTTGACAGTGGCAATCCACATAGCCCTGAATTTCCATCAAATGAGCTGTTATCAAATGTATCAAATTGTTGCCCTTTTGGAATAGGTCCTGTTAAATGGTTGTGTGAGATATTGAAGACTTCAAGGAAATTGAGCTGCGTTAGCTGTGTGGGAATGCTTCCAGTGAGCTTGTTTTGAGAAAGGTCTAGAGTTTCAATATTTTTGAGATTTCCTAGGGCTGGTGGGATTGGACCAACAAGGATGTTATTAGAAAGGTTAAGCAGTTGAAGTCCCTTTAATCTCCCTAGTACATCTGGAATTTCTCCCTCAAATTTGTTGCAAGAAAGATCAATGGTTGAGAAAATCTCTATTATCTTTTCATATTCCATCTTCAATCCTTTGTTTATTATTGTCATTGAGTAAGGGTATGCATTAAGAAAGACGTAGCCACTGATCTCACAATTGTCATATGTAAGCCAGTATTTCGTGTTCTCCTTATCAATATCTACCATGGCACTCCACGCGTTGAAGTATTTTGTTGGCAGAAGACCAACAAATTCATTATGTGAAAGGTCAACGATATGAAGACTAGGAAATAAGGAATTTGACTCTGTAACATTAATTGCACCATATAATTTGTTGAAATGCAAAATGAGAATCTTCAATCTGGGAAGAGTTCCCAACCAATAAGGGAAGGTATCTCTAATATGATTGTTACCAAGATCAAGAAACTCCAACATTCTACAGTTTGCCAATGATCTTGGTAGCTTCCCCTTCAAATTATTCTGTCCTAGTTGAATCATCTTTAGATTGTTTCCAGTTACCCACATTGGAGGAATTGGACCTTTGAAGTTGTTTCCTTGCAAATTCAAACTCACCAAGGATTTACTAAAGTTGCCAATACATGGTGGGATCATTCCATTTAGTTTATTATGAGACAAATCTAGAACATGGAGAGATGTTAGGTTGCAAAATTCAAATGGGATGTTTCCACTAAATTTATTTTTAGAAATTGAAAAGAAATTAATGGACAATGGAGGGATCAGTAGTGAAGCTTTCAGTTGGTTAGAACTAAGGTCTAAAAGGTTTAGAGTAGATGAAGGAAAGGAAATTGAAAATTTTTCAAAGTTTGTCAATGAGTTATGGGAAAGGTCCAAAAATGACAAACTTTTACTGAATTTCCATATCCATTTTGGTATCTTGCCACTAATGTCATTGGAAGAAAGTTCGAGGGTTTCTAGTTGGTTCAGGTCATGCAAGAAGTTTGGAAACTCTTTTATATTACAGTTACTAAGTTCTAGAGTTTTCAGCTTTGTAGAAATGGTGTTGGTACTCTTCCTAGTTTTGATTAGCAATGAAAAATTGTTTTGGGATAACGCCAATTCTTTCAAGTATTTGAGCTTAAAAAATGTGTCAATCTCCACTGTACCACTAAAGCTATTATAGTCAAGTTTCAAGGTTTGGAGCTTGGTAAGATTACCCAGAGAAGATGGTAATAAGCCTGAGAAGTTGCACTGACTAACATTCAAAACTTTCAAAGAGCTGAGCATTCCAATTGAGGCTGGTAACTTACCAGAAAAACTAGTGTTTTGAACTGTAAGAATCATAAGCTGGTTGTGGAAATGAAACTCAGGCAAATTACCTGTAAGACCTGGGTTGTAAGTCACAGTAAGGACTTGAAGTTTTGGTAGTTGGAAAATTGCCATTGGGAACTCTCCGAACAATCCACAGTCACCAAGACGGATATACCTCAAGGAGGACATATTTGCTAAGGTACTAGGAATTTTAGAATTTATTTTGGTGCCAGTGAGGCGAAGGTATTCCAGACTTGTCAAATTTTCTACTAGGCTTCTCAGGTTTGGCCTTTTTAGTTCTAACCATCCCTTCGTTGGAGAGAAAGGGTTATAATTGGGAGCTAGGTCAAGGGTCGATAAGCTAGTAAGTCTTGAAAGTTCAGATGGTATTTGTCCAGCAAGTAAAGAATTAGAGAGGTTGAGATAACTTAAACTTGAAAGATTTGCAAAAGCAGATGGAATCTTAGAATAATTGAAGTTATTGAAAGCGAGATTAAGGTGTTCGAGGTGGAAGAGGTGGAAGAGGCTACTATTGAAATTGATAGAACCTAAAAGACAACTACTACTGAGATCAAGGCCTGTAACATGACCAGTGTCTTGATCACACCATATGCCTTCCCAAAAGCAACAATCCATCCCTTGGGATTTCCAGAGATTGACTTTAGGATAAGCAAATGGATCATCAAAAGAAGCATGCTTATCAATGACAAAGCTTTCCTTGAATTGTAACAAGGCAAGGCACTCATCTCTTCGACACAATGGATGTTGGGAATATGGTTGAAAGGAAAAAACTAGCAAGATGGTAAAGAACAAGAAGTGAGCGAAAAAGGACACCATAATTTGTTCTTGTGTTTAGATTTTTGTACTCTTAGGGATGCAAGAAGATTGTGCATGGTGAAGGGCTTATATAGACGACATTATGTTGAAATGGAAGAGTAAAGAATTTTAGTTGATGTATCTCATTGTCTTTTTTCTACATTCTACTCAGAGAAATGATGCAAGTGTGCAACAATATATGTATCCCTTATGTACGTGGAAAATGATTCAAGAACAACCTTTTTATACAACCTTGTGTCATTCAAATAATTGGCCCTTTTTCTTCATTTGGATCCAAGATATTATGTGTATCTAGTTATTTAATAACATATGAAAATTGTATATAAAGATTATATGAAAAAGTTACTTTTAGATCTCTACCCTATGTACATAAGCTATGGCCCAATCGTGGTCTATTTTTCTATACGTTGCCAAGAAATTAGCTCTAATTTAAATCCACTTGCTATTGACCAGCAAGTCAAGTGAATCAAGCCAAACCTATGTACATCTCAGAAACCAGAAGGAAATTACAAAAAACATTTTTAGCCAATCTAGCCAGCCAGCCAATAAATATTGAATGTGAAATTAATTGACTTGAGAGAAAGGCCTCTGCATAAAAGAAGATATAACATATCTGCTCCGCATGAGAGATTTGGAGAAGACTTATTCATGGCCTAAGATGTACATTTTTTAGCTTATCTTACTCTAAAGAGGCAGCATCCAGCATGCCAAAATCCTTATTAGTCATGGCCTAAGAAGCACATTTCTTACCTTGTCTTCCCACTATTATGCTTTAATTAATCTTGCTTTTAGGCAGTGTTTGAGGTAGCATTTGTATATAAATGTTGTATTACAAAATATGTAATTAATAGCACAGCTATATATTTTAAATCTCATGAAGAGAATCCTAAGAAAAGGTTTTTCAATCAAGATGTTTGAGGATTAATTAGATAAATAACATTAATGTGTAGAGTCTCAATCTGATTTTTTTTCATGTTCTAAAATATTTCTAATCTACCTGT